CGGTCGCTCGCCGCGGGCGCCGGGGCCTGCGCCGCGCCACCCCGCCGGGCCGGGCCCGGAGACATGACAGCGGGGGCGGGGAGGGCGGGTGGGGGGATAGAAACCCTTGCCCGCCGGGGCGCGCGAGGAGCGCGGGGAGCGCGGGGCGCTGGGCGCTTGGGGCGCGAGCGCGCAGGCTCTGGCCCCAGAGCGAGGCTGCGGCACGCGCCCCGGCGGAGGCGGGGCTCGGGGGGCGTGGCTTTGGGGACCGCCCACAGTCCCAGGCTCTCCACTCGCATCTTCTCCCAGGACCGCGGGCCTGGGCTCCCTCCTCCCAGTGCAGCAGCGAGCCTGCAGGAGCCGTGCACGCTGATGGAGCGAGGCTGCGTCGCTGAGCACTTACTGTATGGGGCCGTGGGCAAACCTCGCAAGGTTCCTGCCATCCTGGAATTTACCTTTAAGAAGAGGAGACAGACAAGCGTACAAAACAGGCAAAAAAAAAATTTTCAGCGGCGCCTGGGTGGTTCAGTCGTTAGGCGTCTGCCTTCGGCTCAGGTCATGATCCCGGGGTCCTGGGATCGAGCCCCGCATCGGGCTCCCTGCTCGGCGGGAAGCCTGCTTCTCCCTCTCCCATCTTCTTGCTTGTGTTCCCTCTCTTACTGTGTCTCTCTCTGTCAAATAAATAAATAAACTCTTTAAAAAAATTTTAAAAAATTTTCAGAGGGTGACAATAGTATGAAGGAACCAAAACAGGATGAGGTGCACTCGGAGAGACTCCCTGCTTTATAGTGAACATCTGGGGAGAAGCTGATACTAGTAGCACAAATAAATACGTTGCAAACATTACAAAGCCTTAATAAAACTGGTGATTTTCAAATAAATCTATAAGTATATATTGTTTTGTACGCTGGTATTGATTGCTTTTTTTTTTTTAACAGAAGGGGGAACAAAGCAGGATGACGTGATGATGGAGAGGTGGGGAGACTGGCAAGGTGGTCAGGGAAGGCCTCTTGCAGGAGGGGATGCTGGAGCAGAGACAGAAATGACGAGAATAGAGGGTGCAAGAACCAAAGAGACCTATTGGTCCAGACAACACAAGCAGCTAGCTCAAAAGCCTCAGAGAGTGGAGAGGCCAACGGAACCACAATTTTCATTCTTATAGTTCTTTGGTACAGGCTTGTTGAACATCTCCTGTGTGCTCGGTGGTGGATATCAAGCAGTGAACAAAGTCCCCACCCTCACGGAACGGACATTTTTGGATCTGCCCAAAATTATGGTGAAGGAAGGGTAGGGTAGTCCACTCTCAAGCCAGAGAGATAGTCAGGGCCACAAGGAACCAGTGCGGCACAGTTCAAAAAGTATTTGGGCTGTGGTGTCCCACGGACCCATGCTCCAGCCCAGGCACACAGTAGGTCCTCAGCACCCTCGCACAACGGGTTACCCTCATGGCACCTCCTGGATTCAAGAGAGGAGACCAGGTCTGATTCATCCCTGTGTCCTGAATGAATGAATGAATGAATGTGATCCCTGAAGGAACTTTTTCCGGTTATTCTCTGACCCCCTAGCTAAGACACGGCACCGTGTTTCTCCATCTTGATATTCATTAATTATGTCACCTTGTTTTTCTTCATACTTTTATTACAAAAGTTTTCACACAGAAAAGTTGAAAGACTTGTCTGAGGAAGATACATATACCCACCACCTGGATCCTGCAGTTAACAGTTTGCTATATTTGCTTTACTGTACATCGGTGTGTCTCCCGATCCCTCCATCAGTCCATCTTATTCTTGGATGCATTTCAAAGTAAGCTGTAGACAGCAGTATACTTCACCCTCAACACATCAGGCTCCGTAGCTTTAAGCGAGTTCAATGTATTTAAACGTAAGCCTTACAAATGAAATGCACAATCTTAACTTCACCATTCTGTGACTTTTTGACAACTCATCCCTGGGGATGCATTCCTAGGAAGATGTGGAATAATGCTATCCAGATACAGTAGCCACTGTCCACATGTGGCTGTTGAGTAATTAAAATGTGCCTACTGCAGCTGTGGAACCAAATTTTCCATTTTACTTTACTTTAAATAATTTAAATAATCCACGAGTCTGGTGGCCAGTTTGTCAAACAGTGCAGCTACAGAACATTTCCATCTTCCCAGAAAGTTCCTTTCTGCTTCTTCTCCATCAGCCCCATCTCCCACTGTTCTAATTTTTTTCACCATAGTTGAGTTTTGCCTATTCTAGAACTATAAATGGAATCCTATGCTGTGTCCTTTTTTGTGACTGACTTCTTTCACTCAGCATGTTTTTGAGTCATTCGTGTTGTTGTATCAGAAGTTTCTTTTATTGCTGAATATTTAATTGCATGAATGTATGTCAGTTTGTCCATTCTCCCAATGATGGGCATTGAGCTGTTTCTTGTATGGGACTACTATGAATCCACACAAGTCTTTGTGTGGATTTTTTTTTCTCTTGAGTAAATACCTGAAAGTGGAATCATCAAGTCCTAGGAAAAGGTATGTGTTTAGTTTTATAAGACACTGCCAGAGGGGCATCTGGTGGCTCAGTCAGCGGAGGATGCAACTCTTGATCTCAGGGTTGCGAGGTCGAGCCCCACATTGGGTATAGAGATTACTTAAAAATAAAATCTTAAAAAACCTGCCAGATATTTTTCAAACTGTGCCATTTTACACACCCACAAGCAATGTATGGGAGTTCTGTTTGTCCCACATACTCACCAATATTTGATGTTGTCAGTCTTTTTAGCCATTCTGGTGGGTGTGTTGGTGGTATCTCATTGCATTCTATCTTGCATACATTGCCATGTTTTGTTTTTCATTTCTAAAATGATTTGCTTTAGGGGCACCTGGGTCGCTCAGATGGTTAAGCGTCTGCCTTCAGCTCAGGTCGTGATCTCCGGGTCCTGGAATCAAGCCCCACATCGGGCTCCTGGCTCAGCGGGGAGTCTGCTTCTCCCTCTCTCCCTGCTCATGGTCTCTCTCTCTCTCTGTCTCGAATAAATAAAATCTTTTAAAAAAATAAAATGATTCGCTTTGTTGCTTACTTGTGGGGTTTTATTTTTTGTCTTCCCCCTTTAGAATGTATGTTGCGTAGGGGTAAAACCTTGTCCAGTGTGTTTAGTTATATGTCCCTAGTACTTAGAACAGGGCTTGGCATATAGTATGTGTTCAATAAATTCATTCATGCATGTATTCAACAAATAGTTTTTGTATGGCTTGAACACAGCAGATGTCGCTAATCCCATTAGACAGGTGAGAAGACTGGGGCTGAGGGACCAGAGGCACAGCCATGTTCAGCATAGCTGATAATAAATGGTAATCAGAGCTGACATATATGGATACCTACCTACTCGGTCGGTCAGGCACCGTCTAGGCTCCTGGTGTGAATCAACTCACTTATCCCCACAAAGTTGCCGTGAAGAATATTAATAATAACCCATTTTAAAGGATAAAAGCACTGAAGCACTGAGAGATTAATAACTTGCCCCTTGGTGTTGGTCATTGGAAACAAGTGATTTTGATATTTCTCCCTTCAAGGGCTGGAGCTGAATTCCTGTGCCCTCGGATACGGACCATATTTACTTCTGCACTTCTGATCAATACTATCGTGGAAATGATGGTTTGGGACTTCCAAGAATAGGTCATAAAAGACATCGTGGCTTCTCTCTCTCCCTCTCTCTCTCTCTCTCTCTCTCATTTCTCTCCCTGCCATGTCTGTGGACACTCAAGCAGCCCCATGGAGAGGTCCCCGGGTTAAGAAACTCAGACCTCCTACCAACATCCAGAGAAGAATGGAAGCTCCCCTGATGATAGTCATGTGAGTGAGCCATCTTAGCAACAGACCCTCCCACCCCAGTCAAGCTTTCATATGGTGCAGCTTCAACTGATATCTTGACTATAATCTCCTGAGAGACCTTGGCTCAGAACCACCCACCTCAGCTGCTCTCAGATTTGTAACTCAGAAATGTGAGATAGTAAATGTTTGTTGTTTCAAGCCTCTCAGTTTGGGGGTAATCTTTACACATCAATAGCTCACAAATACACTAGGTCACTAGTAAGTGTTATAACTGGGATTTAGTTCAGTCCAGTCAGACTCCAATTGACACAATATACATAATGACATCTATCCTTAAATGAGTGTCTCTCACGCACCGGGCTCTGTGAAATGGTCTCCATGCATTAGTGACTTTGATTGGAGCCCCGTGCCTAATCTTTGCACTGCAATGCAGTGATTGGGGGTGCAGGCTCTGGAGTTCAACTGCGTGGGTTTTAATCCTGACTCTGGCACTTATCAGTTGTGACTGTCTTTAAATATTACTTTGACATGTCTTTAAATATCCCTTAGATTCCCTCATTTGCAAAATGGAAATAATAGTAGCACCTGCCTCCTAGGGTTCTTGTGGAATCACATGACTATTTACACTTACAGCATTCAGAACTGAGTCCTGCACATAGCAGACCCTCAGTGTACATCTCAGTTGTATTATCTTGAGAGGCATTGACATTGTGTTACCTGATAGTTGTTTTCTTTTTTTATTTTTTATAATAATTTTTTATTGTTATGTTAATCACCATACATTACATCATTAGTTTTTGATGTAGTGTTCCATGATTCATTGTTTGTGCATAACACCCAGT